AAAAAATAATTTTAATTTTTCAAATTTTATTTGAAAGGTAGAGAGAGACAGAGAGATGGAAAAAGTTCTTCCATCTGCTGGTTCACTCTTCAAATGCCAGCAACAGTCAGGGCTGGGCCAGGCTGAACCTGGCATCCCAGAACCCAATCTAGGTCTCCCATGTGGGTAGCAGGGGACCAAAGTATCTGAGCCATCATCTGCTGCCTATGATGTGCATTAGCAGGAAGCTAGATCAAAAAAAGTGCCCGGATGCAAACCATGTACTCCAATATGGGATGCAGGCATCCTAACTGCTAAGCCAAACACTCCTTAAGTAAAAATATTACAAAAGAAAAAGTTAATCAGTCTTCCTGAGGAGATAAAATCTCCAAATAAGAGCCTAAATAAAAGTCATTTTTGACCAAGTGTTTGGCTTAGCAATTAAGATGCTGCTTGGGATGCCCATATCTCATGTCTGAGTGAGTTCAAGTCCAACAATGTTTCTGATTCTAGTTCCCTGCTACATGCACCCTGGGTGACAGCAGATGATTTCCTAAGTACTCAGGTATCTTTCACCCAGATGAGAGCCCCATACTGAGTTCCAGGGTCCTCGCTTCAGCCTGGTTTAGCCCTGGCTGGAACAGGCATTTGGGGAGCGAACTAGCAACGGAATATCCCTCTCTGTCCTTATATTTCAAATAAAATAATTTTTTTAAAAAAATGCAGGGTAGGTATTTGGCACAGCAGTTATATTGCCACTTGAGACACCTGCATCCCATACCAGAGTGTCTGGTTCAGGTTCTGACTACTCTGCTTCTGATCCAGCTTCCTGCTAATGCATGCCATGGGAGGCATAAAATGATGGCTCAAGGAGTTGCATCCCTGTCACATGAGAGACCTGGTTTGAGTTCCAGGCTCCTAGCTTTGGCCTGGCCTAGCTCTGGCTGTTGCAAGCCTTTGGAGAACGAACTAGTAGATGGAAGAACTCTTGCACTCTTACTCTTGCTCTCTGTGTTATCTCTCAAATAAAATGGAAATACATTTAAAAAGAAAAAAAAAAACAAAAAATTAAAGATTTGTTTGTTTTAAAGAGTGACAGAGAGACAGGGAGAGAACAGAGACAGAAACACACAGAGATATCTTCCATCCACTGGTTCACTCCTCAAATGGCCGCAAGGGCCAGGACTGATCCAGGTTGTAGTCAGGAACCCAAACTCCATCTGGGTCTCCCACATGGGTTGCAAAGGATCAAGTACTTGAGCCATCCTCCACTGCCTCCCCAGGCACATTAGTAAGGAGCAAGATCAGAAGTGAAACAGCTCAGGACTTGAACTGGGGCTCCAAAATGGGATGCTGGCATCAACGTGAAACAGCAATGTCACATGCCATGGTTTTATCTGCTGCACCACAATTTCAGTCCCCAAGAAAACAAAATTTAAAAGTAATCTCTGCACATGACATGCAGACAGACCAACTCATAATTATCTCTTTGTCCTAAAGTAGACAAGACAGATGTTTATCCTTTTGTTGGAAACAGTGAGTTAAAAAGAGGGATGCTGGTGCTGTGGCATAGAGGGTAAAGCTGCCACCTGCAGTGCTGGCATCCCATATGGATGCCAGTTTGAGTCCTGGCTCCTCCACTTCGGATCTAGCTCTTTACTATGGCCTGGGAGAGCAGTGGAAGATGGCCCAAGTCCTTGGGCCCCTGCACCCATGTGGGAGATCCAGAGGCAGCACCCGGCTCCTCTGCGGCTCCTCCTCCGTTGTGGCCATTTAGGGAGTGAATCAGCAGATGTAAGACCTCTCTCTCTGCCTCCGCCTCTCTGTAATTCTACCTTTCAAATAATAAATAAATCTTAAAAGAAAAAAGAGGGATGCCATCTTAATCCTTATCCATTAGTTCAGCCCTAATCCTTCCCAGAAACTCAGGAGAGAAAAAAAAAAGAAAAAAAAAAAACAGAATACCACCTCTGGGCACTCACAGTCCTGCCAGGCACCAAAATAAATGCCAAATTTGTTTAAATAATTATCTTATTTGCGGTTTTTATTTGTATTTCGCAACACACAATGGGGAGATGTTTGACAGAGTAGCTTAAGTCACTGAATGCAACATCCACATCCCATACTGGAGTGCCTGGTTTGAGTCCTGGCTCCTTTGCTTCTGATCCAGCTTCCCGCAAATATATATCCTGCAAGGCAGTGGATCATGTCTCAGGTACTTGAGTCCCTGCCACCCATGTAGGAGACACAAATGGAGTTCCAGGCTCTTGGCTTTGGCCTGGTTCAGCCTCTGACTGTTGTGGGCATTTGGAGAGTGAACCAGAGGCTAGAAGACTTCTCTCTGCCTGTCTCTGCCTTTCAAATAAAATGACAATAAATTTTTAAAAGACTCAAACTCCATCCATGTAGTAGAAATGGAGTCTGGCCACAATGCCAGTTAATATACTCTTGGGGAGTCAGCACTGTGGCATAGTGGGTAAAGGCGCCGCCTGCAGTGCCAGCATCCCATATGGCCTCCAGTTTGAGTCCCGGCTGCTCCACTTCCAATCCAGCTCTCTGCTATGGCCTGGGAAAGCAGTAGAAGATGGCCCAAGTCCTTAGGCTCCTGAACCCATGTGGGAGACCCGGAAGAAGCTCCTGGCTTTGGATTGGTGCAGCTTCAGATTGGCACAACTCTGGCCATTGCGATCAATTGAGGAGTGAACCAGCAGATGGAAGATGCCTCACCCCTCGCCTCTCCTCTCTCTGTGTAACTCTGACTTTTAAATAAATAAATAAATCTTTAAAAAAATATTCTCTTGGGTCCAAATTCCAGTCGCGCACGTGTGAAACTGAGCACTCGTATTGTTAGACAAGTCACTCCACCCAGGACTCGGTTTTCTCATCTGTAACATGTGAATAATTGTTACTCCCATTCAGGTTTTAGTAAGGACTGAAGATCTATTTCATGAAAACATTTAGCTTAGCACCTACCATATAAATACTCAATATGTGTTAGCCGCTATGATTGCTTTTATGTGGCTCACTTAATTATTTCTTCTCCGTTCCAATGACCATACAGCCAGCTTTGTTTATAATTTTAATCACCTAAAAATAGGATTTTAGTATTTTAATATCTTAACACTCAAATGCAAGGGCAGTTCTGCCTCACCGTTTCCCCCAGTGTCAAAGGTTGGGGGGAGAGAACCACAAAGAGTATTTAGGTGAGCTGCTTTTAAACTAGGCAAGGTTAGTTGGTTGAGTAGAAGTAGTCTAGATAGCAGACAGCCTTTTGCTTTAATGGAACCACTATCCTATAACATAGCAGGGAACCTGGTGCAAACGACAAGACCTGAAAAGGACAGGACCCAGAAAAAGGCAAGGCTGGCTGCTACAAAGGATGTGGCTCTCTTCCATTCAGAAAGAGGGAATCAGGAAAGCAGAAGTTTAATAGTTGGAGTTCCTGTGTTGCACATCAGGCAGCATCAAGGTGTTAAGCCAGCGGTGGGGAATGCTGGCTGCTGTAGAAGACCCACAAAGTCATTTGATCTGGCCCTGCCAAGGCAAGCAGAGGTGGGACTCTAAATTCAACAAATCTATAGCTGGCTAATTTTAAAGTTGATAATTTTGTATGGCTTGTGAATTATAAATACCCAAATAGCCCTTGGCAGAAAAAAACGTTCCCCACCCCTGTTTTAAGTTAACAGGTGGGCAGAACACTATTAGTTATAATACAGCTTTAATAAACATCTTTTTATTTAATCCTCACAACCACCTTGTGAAACAAGCAGGGCAAACTTCCCTATCCCCATTTGGTAGATGAGGAAATTCAGGGCTCAGAGAGGTTAAATAGTCCAAAGTCTTTAGCTAGCAGTTGGGGGGGGGGGAGGAACCAGCACCCTAAGGCAAGTCTCCCTGGCTTCAAATTCCATACTCCTTCAACTAAAACACGCTACACTTTTGTGTGGACCCCGGTTAGCCCGGGCCACGTTTGTTAGGAGCAATAGAAGAAATTCACAAGACTAGCTGTGAACTCCTCAGAATCATATAGGAGGGAAAAAACCGGTAGAGGGGAGAGGATTTATATGGAAAGGGGCTGGCGGCAGGAAGAGAAGACAGGCTCCCTAAAAGATGCGCGAGATTTCAACAGTTTAAGATAATTAAAAATGAATCTTGATGAAGAATGGGAAGGGAGAGGGAGCAGGAGATGGGATGGTTTGCACGTGGGAGGGAGGTTATGGGGGGGGGACCGCTATAATCCAAAAGTTGTACTTTCGAAATATATATTTATTAAATAAAAGTTTTTTAAAAAAAAAATATGAGCAAGAACAAGTAGCAAAAGAAGCTCTCAGTGAGGGCCAGTTAGAAACAGGCACGAACTGGGCAGGCGACGCCACCTCAGGTTTCTCCACGCGGTTGGGCAGGGCCAGGTCCGCTCAGCTCCACCCCCTTCCTCAAGCCCAGCTTGGGCTGGAGAGACGCGGCGCCCCCCAAAAACAGCCACCCGACACACCCACCCACGCCGGGAGTCGGGGTGGGGCTAGGGCTCCGAGCAGTCGGCGACCAACGCTAGGGGCAGGGGACGCCAGGAGGACGGGTAAAGGAAGTAACTCTCCGGGCGGCGATACCACGCCGGGTATTCGCGAAAGGCAGTTACAAGCGCGGCGAGCGTGGAATAAGCTGGAGGTAGCCGTGAGGCGCGGAGGTCGGAGGGCTGGGGGGCGGGGGAGCCGTAGGCTCTTACAGGGCGCGGGGGCGGTGTCGCGGCGGCGGTGTCGCGCGGGGGACGCTGGCTGGCGCAGACCACCGCTTCCCGCGACGGCAACGCCACCGCCGCGACGCCCGCAGTTGAGTCCCGAGAGGAGTTCAGTTTGGTTGAAAGGGGGTGTGACCTAGAAAGAAAACGCCGGTCCCGGCACGGGAAGGGGGCGTCAAAGAGCACCCTGAGAAGGCTACGAGGGGGTGTGCCTAGGCTCCCCGCTAAGAACCGAAAGGGCGTTCGCGGCTCCCAGTCCCGCCTCATTTTTCTTTTTTTCCCTTACCTTGGGCACCGTGATGTGGTCCATGACAGCAATTCCCGCCACCAAATCCCTCAGCGGTATTTGGGCCGCCAGCGTCGCTCCCGCCACCTTCTGGCCCAATCCGGGCTCCTACCCCCGCCCTCCTCGTGCTGACTCCAACTCTCGTCACCTGATCCTCGCGGAAGCTCATATCGCGATACTTCTTCAGTAGCTGGTCTCGCCATCTTGCTTCCTGGCAAATGCCCTTTTCTTCGGGAAGCTGACTCTTCTGGTTCACACTCAACGTTTGGCCCACTTTCTAAGACCCAGATTGGAATGTTGCCCCCTTTCTCACACTCCTTGATGTTCTGAGCACCGATGTCACGATGACACTCTGCGGAGATAACACAGGGTGTCCCCTACTGGCTGCTGGGTTTCCACAGACCTTCGTAGCTGTAACCTTGGGCAAATCATAGAATATCTTTTGAAGTATGAAGAGGCATTGCCTCCTCCTCTCTTGTCCCTCATTTTTATGTCTTCCGCCATCAAACTAGTTAAAACCTGAACTACTGGAGCAAGATTTGTGGCCCAGTGTGTTATGCCTTGCTGAGGATGCCCATATCCCAATAGTGGAGTGCTGGCTCCAGTCCAGCTGCTACTCTGTTTCTGATACAGCTTCCTTGTAACGTGCCTGGGAAGGCAGCAGCTGACAGCCCAAGTGCTTGGTAACCTTAATCTCTTCCACCAGCTAAACTTTTACCATCTGATAGAGGACTCCCAATTTCACATCTCAAACCTGGTGACCTTTCTCTTTTCATAAAGATTTATTTTATTTATTTGGAAGACATTGTTACAGAGAGTGAGAGAGAGAGAGATCTTCCATCCACTGGTTCATTCCCTAAATGGGCACAACTGCTAAGGCTGGGCCAGGAAGGAACCAGGAGCTTCATCTGTCTCTCACATGGGTGCAGGGGCCCAAGGACCTTCCACTGCTTTCCAAGGCCATAGCAAAGAGCTGGGATGGAAGAAGAGCAGCCAGAACTCAAACCAGTGCCCATATGGGATGCTGGTGTTGCAGGCAGCAAGTTAACCTGCTGTACCACAACACTAGCCCCACGACCTTTTTTTTTTTAAGATTTATTTATTTGAAAAGCAGAGAGGCAGAAGCAGAGAGAGAAGGCTTCCATCTGCTGGCTCACCATCCAGCTGGCCACAATGGCCAGAGCTGGGCCAATCTGTAGCCAAGAGTCTGGAGCCTCTTCCAGTTCTTCCACACGAGTGCAGGGGCCCAAACACTTGAGCCATCCTCCGCTACGTTCCCACGCCGTAGCAGAGATCAGGATTGGAAGTGGAGCATCCAGGACTCGAACCAGCGCCCACATGGGATGCCGGCACTGCACGTGGCGGTTCCACCCATTACACCACAGAGCTGGGCCTGACCTTTCTCTTGAACTCAAATTTACAACTTCCAACTGCCATCTGAGATTTCCACTTAATTGTTCCTGCTAGCACATTAAAGACATCACGACCCAAACTAACTCATCTTTCATACCCTCTCCCTGCCCCTTGCCTTCTCCCATCTCTGCCACCTGCTCTTGCTCAAGTTTTCCCTATTCCTGGTAGTGGCACCGCCATACCTCTAGTTACTCAGATAAAAAAACCTCATGTCCATGGTGTTTGGAATAGTGAAAAGGGTATGTGGACTCTAGTCAGACTAGGCTCAGATTTTGGCCCTGCTATTTGCTCATGACACATGACCTTAGGCAAATTCTACAACCTCTCTGGGCCTGAGTTTTCTCACCTGTAAACCCATTCTCATATAGTTCTTGTGGAGAAAGAGGTAATGTGTGTGAAATGTCAGGAATATGAGAAGGGCACAATGAAAATTAGTGGTTATCTTCTCTTCCACAACTTGATAATTGAACATTTCTGTTATCCTCTTTCTCGGTTGATTATTTTGTTTCTTAGTTTGATGATAAAAATAGAAGAATCAAAAGGGAACTTCCACATCTTTCTACAACCAGATCTGCTTGCTCCCCTGTATGTGAATCCATATAATGTGCCTTCAATAAATAAACTGTTCCTGAGTGTTCCTAAGGCAACCTTTGTGTTTATCCACTCAATCATCCTCCCTCACCTGCTTAGCTGTCACACCTTCCATTTACATCAACACAAAAACGTGCTATAATGTTTACAATCTTACAAAAACTGTTCTGACTCATATTCCTGTCTCCCACCTATAATTGTCCCATTTGTGTTGTATTTTATGACAAAATGCCTCAAACATTTGTTTAAATTAGTCGTGTTTCCATTTCTTTTTCTCTCTTCCCATTCTCCCTTGTAACTGCTCTAATCAAACTTTGCCCCCACTAGTACATCAAGCTGTTCTTGTCAAGGTTACAAATAGTCTCTCCGCTGCAAAACCCAACGATCAGTCCTCAGACCTCTTCTTGTTTTCTCAGCAGTATTTAATCACTCCCTCCTCCTTGAAACATTTTCCTCCCTTGGCTTCAGGGACACCACTCTCTCTCCTCTTCTCTGACTTCTCTTTCCCAATCTCCATTTCTGATTTCCCTCATCTTCCCTATCTCTACATGTTTGAATACTGCCAGGGCTCAGACTTTTGTCCTCTTTTCTATTTACATTTATTCACTGGATGCTGTTATCAAGTTTCATGGCTTTAAATAGCATCAATTTGTGGACAACCTTCTAGCCCTAATCTGTTCTCTAAACTCTGGTGGGCATTTGGCACAGTCATTAAGATGATGCTTTGAGGGTAAGGGGAGGCTGATCCTGTGGCACAAGAGGTTAAGCCACCTCTTGGGACGCCAGCATCCCATATGAGCTCCAGTTCAAGTCCTGGCTGCTCCACTTCCAATCTGGTTCCTTGCTAATGTACCTGGGAAAGTTGTGGAGTTTTATCCAGCTGCTTGGGTCTCTGCCACACATGTGGGAGACTCAAATAGAGTTCCAGGTTCCTGTCTTTGGCCTGGCCCAGCCCGGGCCATTGTAAATTTAGATTTAAAAAAGATGATGCTTTGGACAGCCATCCCATATCAGAGTGCCTAGATTCAAGTCCCAGTGTTACTCTGAGTACCAACTTTCTGCTAATGCACACCCCAAAAACCAACAGATAATGACTCAAGTACTTGATTCCATGCCACTCACATGAGGAAACCCTATTGAGTTCCAAGCTCCTGGCTTTGGCCTGGGCCACTCCAGGCTGTTGCAGGTATTTGGGGAGTGAACCAGCAGCAGATAGAAGATCTCTCTGTTTCTGTCTCTCTACCTTTCATTTAAAGACTAATCAATCAATTAACTTTTTAAAATAAAAAACTTATATATTAGCTAACAGCCTACTGACTTGTCTACTAGGATGTTTTAGAGGCACCTCAAGCACACCACATTCAAAATAGAACTTTCGATTTCTACCTCCATCCTCACGCATATTCCTCCTGTAGTGTTTCTCATTTCAGGAAATGGAACTCCATCCTTCTTGTTTATCTTAGTTTGTTTGCACTGCCATAACAAAATATGTGTGACTGGGTAATTTATATAAAAAAAAGAAATCTGTCACAGTTATGAATGCTGGAAGTCCAATATCAAGGTGCCAGCAGGTTCCATGTCTGGTAAGGGCTGCTCGCTCTCTGCTTCCAAGATGTTATCTTGAGTGATGCATCCTCAGAAGGGAGAGATACTGTGTCCTCACATAGCAGAAGGAAAGGAAGGGCAAAAAAGCACTGCAATATTTCCCTCCAGCTGTTTTTTTTTAAAAGATTTATTTATTTATTTGAAAGGCAGAGTTACAGAGAGGCAGAGGCAGAGGGAAAGAGAGGTCCTCCATCCGCTGGTTCACTCCCCAGATGCCCACAATGGCCAGAGCTGTGTCCATCTGAAGCAAGGAACCAGGAGCTTCCTCTGGGTCTCCCACAAGGGTTTAGGAGCCTAAGGACTTAGGCCATCTTCTACTGCTTTCCCAGGCCATAGCAGAGAGATGGATTGGAAGCAGAGTAGCCAGGACTTGAACTGGCACCCATATGGAATGCCAGCGTGGCCTTGCCTGCAACGCCACAGCGCCGGTCCTACTCTAGCCCTTTTATAAAAGCACTAATCTAATCCATAAGGATGGAACTGTCTTAGCCTAATCACTTCCTGAAGGCCTCGTCTCTTAATATTGTTGCATTGGGGATTAAGATTCAACATGGCCGGCGCCGCGGCTCACTAGGCTAATCCTCTGCCTTGCAGCACCGGCACACCAGGTTCTAGTCCCAGTCGGGGTGCCAGATTCTGTCCCGGTTGCCCCTCTTCCAGGCCAGCTCTCTGCTGTGGCCCAGGAGTGCAATGGAGGATGGCCCAAGTCCTTGGGCCCTGCACCTGCATGGGAGACCAGGATAAGTACCTGGCTCCTGCCATCGGATCAGTGCGGTGCGCAGGCCGCAGCATGCTGGCCACGGCGGCCATTTGGGGGTGAACCAACGGCAAAGGAAGACCTTTCTCTCTGTCTCTCTCTCTCACTGTCCACTCTGCCTGTCAAATAAATAAATACATAAATAAAAAATAAAAATAAATAAAAAAAGATTCAACATGAATTTTAGAAGGAGCATAAGCATTCAAATCAAATTAAAATTGCTTAAGCCAAAAAGCTTTGGAAACATCCTCTTTTTCTCATATTCCACACCTTACTCATCAAGTCCTATCAGCTTGTGCTTTGAAGTATTCCCTAAATCCAACCACTCCTCAATCCTGTACCCTGGCCCAAGACTGTTATCTCTTCCCTAGATTATTGCCTAAGTCTCTCCCCTGTGGTCTCTATGCTTTGGCCTTGGTCCCCCAGAATCCATTCTGTACATAGCATCTTCTGGACTCTAGAATCCAGAATGACATCACTTCTTTTTTAAAAACCTTTTAATGGCTCCCTATCTTAGAGTAAAAGTGAAAGCCTTAATTAATCATGGCCTGGGCATTGCTACATGTGATTTAAGTCTAGGACCTCTTGACTACATTTTTTTTTATTTGACAGGTAGAGTTATAGACAGTGAGAGAGAGCCAGAGAGAAAGGTCTTCCCTCTGTTGGTTCACCCCCCAAATGGCCGCAACGGCCGGCGCTGTGCCAATCCAAAGCCAGGAGCCAGGTGCTTCTTCCTGGCCTCCCATGCGGGCTCAGGGGCC